AAGTGCCTTTTGAGTAAAAGTGTGCCGGACAATCTGCACAGTGGTACAAACTTAGTTCCCCTTTCCTAAGTCTCACATGTTACTGTCCACAGTCTCCTGTGGTACCAACACCATATCACCAGTGCTGGTGAGATCCCCTTGTAGCCTGGATGGCTTCCAGGAGGGAACCCTGCATTCTTCAGCTCCTGGATTGTGCACTCCAGCAGAAGCCTACAGTCTAGCCTCAATGCCCAGGAACAATCCTTGATATTCTAGCTTGTGGATTCTGATTCACTGTTTCCGGGATAGAGTGCTTCTGCACTAGAACTTGGCCTTCATGATGGAAACCACAGCTGCAGATGAAAGTTGGGATTGGCAGGGTAGGAAATACAGAGTTCTTGTTTTGCTGGATCTGGTGGGTTAATTAGGTGGTGGTCTATTCCCAAAGGTATCATTTGAAAAATAATCTTAAGTGATCATTGTCACCTCCAAGGTGACATGTAAAAAGGCTCTGCCTGTGGCAGATAATGCCAGGGTAAGAACTTTTAAAATAGTTTACTCCTTGGTTCTTAAACATTGAACCCTGCACTGGATATAGGGCAGTAGCGAGAATAGTATGATTACAGTAGGGATCAAACAGATGATGGCCATCTCTGCAAGGAGAGACTGTGCCTTAGACCTCTCCAGGTTCCCCTCAGCATCCAGCTGCCTTGTGTACACAGGAGGTGCTTAATTAAAGTACTCGTTATTATCCGTCTGCCTCCCAGGCTTGCAGAGTAGAAAATAAGTAGAAACCACTCAGATGGAAAGGAACGAGTAGCACGTAGAAGAGATTCAGCCGTCGTACGATTTTACCATTCCTTCTTCCCAGATTGTGTTTTCTTTTGGAGAATCCCATTGCACCTTTCTTCTCTAAACCTGCAGATTCCTTCCTATCTTGAGATTCTGTTTTTAGGGTGGTTGCAGGTTTTGAGATCCTTTCACTTCACTGAAGAAAGGTACAATGGGAACCTCTGGCCATAGGATGAGGTTAATACTTTTCTTGATCACATTTTTCTTCTTACCCCCACCCCAGCTTTGAAAGTGGGGTCTTCAGATTCTCAGGGACTCCTCCTCACTGACGTGTCTGACTTCTCAGTCAAGTCTTGTGCTGAAAAGAATTTTTGATAATTCAGGACCCCCTTACTTACATTGGTTTCCACAAGGGCATGCCCTCCTATCTGAGAACTGACCAGGTTATAGCGTAAAAGATCTTTCCTAAAAGCCTCGCTGGCCACACAGAGCAGTTCCTGAAGGGAACTGAAGGGAAGTTTACTTCACCTGAATGAGTAGATTCTTTACTATTTCCTGGAGAACTGGCCCACAGGGACAAGAGGCTTGCCAGAAGAAAAGTGGAACCAACCAGGGGGAGCGTTGAAAAAGCATGACCGAAGGTGCTGGGGAAACCCTTGAAAGGAAAATAAACGCAAACAAGAAACAGTTGTGATAAGTGGTGTGAGAAGAAACCTTCCCAAGCCCATTTTTCCCCCTTAGTTCAGATTTTACTGAGTTTTCTCCAGATGAACTACTACTGTGCACCATTAGATCATACTGTTAAAGCAGAATCGGTTATGCAGTTTAAATAAGGCTGTAAAGCCTTGTGCTTTCTAATTGACAAGGCGCACACTTCTGGAAGCAAGAAAAGCGCGTGTGGTGCGATTAATTACTTTTGTGTGTGGTCTTTCTAGCCATGGTCTGTGACCCCCACCCAGGTGATTGGGTGGGGCTATGCAAATAAGGTAATTGTGGCACACAGAGAGGATTGGTCGATTTTGCCTTAAAAGAGAGCCAATTCCAGAGCAGACAGGAGGAGCCCACCACCACCAAGGAAGGAGAGACCAGCAGGGGACGGTGCAGTGGGCTTCTCGGCCCACAGAGCAAGAAAGCTGAGTGCCTGCGGGCAGAGACTGAGGGCCAGGGAGAAGTCTATGCCTGACCCACGAATTTGGGACTTGACAGCCTCCACAGCCGCGTGAGCCATTTACTTTATATGGTCCGTGAGTTCTGTGAGATGTTGCAGTGAATGAGGGAACCCAAAGACAGAAGGAAGATGCTGAGGGGAGAGGGAGTAGCTGATGTTAGAGATGATGGAGTGGGACAGCAGCTTGGAAGAGTCAGACATTTGGGACACCTTTAACCTTCGATTCATAGGAACCAGCTTTATGCTGATCCTTACAAAAGAAACCGTTCATCTACGAAGGTACTAACGTAAAGCATTTTTGTTGACACTTCTGGGCTGCTGTGGTGCAGTGGGGAGCCCTGGTGGCGCAGTGGTTAAGAGCGCTCGACTGCTAACCAAAAGGTCGGCAGTTCAAATCCACCAGCTGCTCCTTGGAAACCCTATGGGGTAGTTCTACTCTGTCCTGTAGGGTCGCTATGAATCAGAATCGACTTGACAGCAGCAGTTTTTCTGGGCTGCTGAGTGGAGCCATGGAGCTTGGGATCCTGACACGAGCCGTGTACAGACTTGCTTGGCTGTTTTTCGCCTTGGACTGGAGACACAGCAGGCACTTGGACCCTAGTGATGCCTGAGGACCTTTCTTTAATGTTAACTTACCTTGGTTGAAACACTGGAAAATAAGCCTGAGCTCAAGTACTTGAATCTCATGAACAGGGGGACGAGAACGAAGGCTAAAAGATTTTGATGCAGTATGTTTTACCGTAGCAGCCCAGAATTATTTAGCCTTGAATATTTTGATTTACTTGTGATGTTTCTTTCAAATCATGTACAATCATTGCTTCCAAATGTTTTCATTTACTCTTGATTTTCTCTTAAAAATTAAAAGACAGGTCATGATTTCGCCTTTTCCTTCCACCATGTATTATTGCCAAAAACTCCTTCAATAATGAATGGATGGATGAGTGGGTGAGTGGGTGGATGGATGAGTGGGTGGGTGGGTGGATGGATGAGTGGATGGGTGGGTGGATGGATGAGTGGATGGGTGGGTGGATGGATGAGTGGATGGGTGGGTGGGTGGATGGATGGATGGATGCGTGGGTGGATGGGTGGGTGGATGGGTGGGTAGGTGGGTGGGTGGGTGGAGAGCCTTCAACTTCATAGGATTTTTTCCTGATCCTCCCTAGTGTTTCCTCCTTATTAATTTGTGCACATTCAGACACAGGTGAGCTGCTACTTTATTACCGTCAAAATACTTTAATTGTGGTAAAAATATATATGAAAACGTTTGCCATTTCAACAATTTTACATCTACAATTCAAACGTTAATTACATGGATCGTGTGGTGCAGTTATCACCGCTGTTCACTACCAAGGTTTTTCATCGCCGTCAACAAACTCAGTGCCCTTTAAGCAATGACTCCCCCTCTCCTCCTCCATCCTGCCCCTGGTAACCTAATAAACTTCGGTCTCTATGCAGTTGCCTATTTGAGGTATTTCATTTAAGTGGGATCATACTATATTTGTACTTTTGTGACTGACTTATTTCCCTCGACAGAATGTTTTCAAGGTTCATGTGTGTTGTAGACTGTCAGAAGACTTTTAACCACACGTTCTTACATGGTTGAGACTTGGGATCCGTGATGCCTCCAACCAGCTAAGAATGTAGTGATCTGGTAAAGGTAGTGTCCACTGAGGTCCGAGTGGCAAGTGGGCACATGGCAGGGGACTGGTCTCAAAACCAGTGAAGATACTTGTTACATGCATCAGTGAAGTTAGTAGAACGATGTGGGCAGGAAATAAGATCAGTGACCGAAATAGTGGAAATTGTAAAATGATTATTAGTATCTTAAAGTGAAAGATACAATGGGAATTAAAAAACGGCTTTTTTTTTTTTTTTAACCATTACATATTAAGTTTGACTACTAAGAATTTTTAAATGACTTCCAGTGTTTGCCCTTCTGATTTGGTTATTAGTTTTTTCCACTAGAGACAGGCCTGGTTGTCTTAACTCTATCCAGTAGACCTCAGAGGAGAGAAAAATCAGGACTCTATTAGAGGTGCTGAGAACCTGATTCCATCCCTCATTGAATAGGTTCACGTGTAATGATAGCATGATATCAAGGTAGAACCACCATAATTAGCCCTCAGGGATGATTGTCTTCCTCGAGGAAAGTTGGACTTTGGGTCACCCCAGAGTCCCCTTGATTGAGATGTCAAAGTTAAGGAAAAATCAAGAGTCATGGTTACCAGTAGCAAAAGAATTGTTTGGCATTTGTCAGGAATTAATGCTAGAGAAGCATGACTGTTGGAAGAGGTGGTTGTGTTTTAAGGGTATGGTCAAAGGAAGTAGCGTCTTGGGAAGTAAAAGTCTGAGTGAGGAGATTTCTAAATGTTTAGGTAATTCTAAAAGCACGATTTTATTGGCAAGGAAACAATATACTGTATTAGCTTCTGAGAACAGTGGTCTCGTCTGAGTCTTGATGTGTATGGGCACATTCTGTCTGTCTGGACTTTACTGGTTTGAGAATGTACTTGGGGTTGGAAGGTTCACTATTGTATTAGATGAGATTTTATGAGTCACAGACATGTGGGGTGAAGCCTGAGAAGCTTTATCCCGTCCTTTAGCAGGATTCCAAGTTATTTGGCCTGTTTGTGATCTACCCTACCAAGTTTTTGAGTTTGAAAGACGCTGTGCTTCTAGAATTTATCCAGGAACACGCACTGTCTGATGTGGCCTTGGTGGCCATGTTGTTGTGGGCGTCCAGGTGTGGAATGGCGTTTTCATTCTTGATGTCTTTTGTGAAGAACTGGTCCTTATCGGTGGTTCAGCCTGATGTCCCACAAACAGTAATGAGATGAGCATGCACTCAAACTGAGAATGAACGGGACGTGGCACCTGGCGCATCAACGAAAGATCAACACAGGCAGCGGCCACTTTTTGTCTTCGTAGTGATCATGTTTATCCGCCTCACCCGTCTGTCCTGCTGCGTGCACTAGGTTCTACATCTGGAGGCATCTGTGGTGTGGGAATCTATCCAAGGATGTGTTTTTAAGGTTGTTTGTTCCTCTGTGCCCATGAACAGATACCAGTATTACCTGCAAGTCAAAAAAGACGTGCTTGAAGGGCGACTGCGGTGTACGTTGGAACAGGTGATTCGGCTAGCCGGCTTAGCTGTGCAAGGTAAGATACGGTTATGACCAGCGTGTGCAATTCCATTATCTATTTGATTAGAGCGACCCTTTTTATTGTGGCAAATACATATGTAACAAAACGTTTGCCGTTTCAACATTTTTACATATACAGTTCAGTGATACTAATTCCATTCATCGCCTTCAGCCACCACCGCTGTTCAGTGACTGTTTTTTCCATCACCGTTAGCAGAAGCTCAGTGTCGCCTAAGCAGTGAGTCCCTCTTTCCCCCTCCCACCTGCCCCTGGTAACCACTGGTAAACTTTGGTGTCTATAGATTTACCTATTCTGGTATTCATGTTAAATGGGATCATACAGTATTTGCCCTTTTGCAGCCGACTGACTTCACAGAGCGTAACGTTTTCAAGGTTCACCCGTGTTCTAGCACACATCAGGATTTCATTTCTCACAGTGGCCCTTTTCATTTCAAAATAGCTTACGTTAGAAATGTGAAGGTTGATTTTGGGTGGCAGGACAGTGGATTTCTCAAAGCTGCTTGAAAACTGCTTATACTTGTGTAATTTCAGTCCTATTTGAAGAAATAGCAGCTTTTAACCTGCCTGTAATTAAAGCTGCATTTCAGGGCTTATGGAACATTTTCTCAGACTTACTCTCCTGCACAATGTGCTCATCTTCTGTGGCTTGATGCTGTAACTGTATTACTGTCAAAACAGTTTCAAGGGAGATGGCTTTAAACACCATCCTATACTTCATTCTAACGCAGTTAAAGGGAGAAATTAAAACTGCACAGTTGTAATGTGTAATAACAAGTGTATATTAGGGTACGTTTGTTTTCTGTCCTGTTTAGAGTTTTCAGACAGCTATCCATTATTTTCTCTAAATTGTTATGAGTGGGTATTTTTTGTGTATACAGTTGACTCCCATTATTCACGACACAGTTATGTTCACTGTTCACGTATACAGTCACACGAACGTTGGATTAGCAAATACTGAGCTGTTGTTCATAAGGGAAGAACAGGGTTAGGTCACAACATTCTTGTCAGCTGATCAGCACATAACCTTGTTTTATGTGTGTTTCTGTTTGAAGACGCCTTGTTTAATGTATATTGTTGATGCATTAACGTTGAGCGTACAGCCAGTGGGACTGTACCTCAAACCCGAAGGAAGCTGATCTAGCACACGGATTTTCTCTGTACAGCACGTTGCAGCCTTCTCTGCTTAGGGACGCTAGACGGCACTCCAGCACTGTAATCCCCAAAAAAGCAGGGAGGGGAGGCACAAAAATGCGGAAACATGACACTAAATAAAATGGACCATGAGAAGGACACTTGTTACCAGTATAGAGCTGAAAAAAGAAGGCTGAGCATCACCAGTCACCTTGTTCCACCTCAGCTGGGAACAAGCATGTCAAGTGACTCCGACTTTTGACTGCTCTGTACACATCCACGAGCATCCACAGAAGTGCTGCGAGTATTGATTTTCAGGTTACAGATAAATTTTGGCAAGTCGGCAATTCATAAACATGGAATTTGTGAATAACGAGGATCAACTGTAGATTATACCTTACTCCTTATTGAGTGGTGGCTTAATCACCTTTAGTCATATTGAAAATACGAAGACAGTAATACGGTTTTTAAAAAGAGACGTGTTTCCTTTTCAGTCACTATTTTCCTTAAAAACAGCTGCTGCGCAAGTGCGGGCCTTCAGCGGCCGAGTTCTCGCTGGATGGATGTTGTTTTAGAAGCTGTGAACTCCACTTTGAACTGAAATCGAATCTTTCCAGTTCTGAGCATCTGGAAAGGCAGCCTTCCCTTGTTCTCTGGCATTCCGGGATATTGGCTGCTTGGTGACTTCTGTTGGACATACGATTCCTGTACAGTTAGCTCCCGTGGATGAAGATAGGCCAAATACGTCATATCACAGCTGACAAGGGGAAGAAATCAAGGCCAGTTTTAATAGAGAAATCAACAATGGCTACGTTGAAATAACGGAGAAGATACCCATAACAGAAAGAAGTGAGGGACGATCCAGCATATCCTTCCTCTTCAAATCGGCTCTGTCTCCCTTTAAAACACGTTCTTTTCCATTCACTTCATTTACTCTCTGTTTTTCCTCTCACGACTCAACCACTGGGCTTGTTGTAGGTATCCTGCGTGTCGGGACATCCTGATGAGGGCTTCCAGGCTGAATGACTGGTGAACTTACTCTGGATTCCTTTCTCATCGGGTCCTTGAAACCAGCTGTTCAGTCTGATGAAAACCTCTTTTAGCTATAATATTTTTAAAATAGTTTTCTCCTGAAAACGCTTATGGGGCAATCAGACACATCAACAGAGAAATTAGTTGTGATCAAATATGATAACCCATGATTAAACCTGAGAACAGGCAGGGTGAGTGGTCTTTGCGACTCTCGAAGGCCACACCTAATTGATAGTTATTTGATGAGTTCCTAGGTGGATTTTCATCTTTTCAACAACGTCATTACATTGGTCTTCCCTCTGTGTGTGTCTCCCCTCATTCTGTATCTGTTGTACATTAAAGATACCTGCATCCGTTTTCTACCTGATGCTAAATCCTTTATGTGAAATTAAAATGTCATGCTGGTTTGATTTCTGTGAGAGCGAGTGGAATCACAAGCAAGACATTTTTGTTTTTATGACATAGGCTTGCTGCATTCATTTTGCACATGTGCAAACATACCATTGTGAGATAAAAACAGGACAGAATAGCATTTTTGGCATCTTATAACGTGAAGCTGTTTAGGACGCGTAAAGGCGTGCAAAGTTGCTCGCCAAGGGTGATTTGCAGTGGGAATTTCCAGCCGCAGATATGTGAAGAGATGCAGGTGGGTTTTGCTCTTCGGTTCTCCAGATTAACCTGGAGTTAAAAAGTCTCCCAGCAGATGTTCTTAAGATATGAATAAACGCATATTTAACAAACAGATGAATACAGGTTCATTAAAAAATTTAAAGTAACCTTTAGGAATTGCTTTCAGATTTCCCCATTCTTCCCAGAATGCCCACGTGCTGATGTTTATAGCCGCTAAGTGGTAACTGTACCAAACATGTCTTTGCGCTGTTTTTACTAAATAATAACACAGAAGTAGGATTCAGTGGGAAGAGTAAATGCGGTGATAAGTTTACCCTATTTTATTCCGTCTTCAGTTTCACGTAATAAATACCCCTTTCTCTCTCTCTCTTTGTTTTTGTTCTCAGCTGATTTTGGAGATTATAATCAGTTTGATTCTCAAGATTTCCTCAGAGAATATGTGTTATTTCCTATGGTAAGTGTAATTTCCTTTTTCTTAATTAATTTTGTGCCTTCTTTGAACTTTTAATTCTTTCCTTTGAAAAATCTCAGAGGATTTTACAAACACAAATCCCCTGTGCAGGCAAGTCCGTGCTTTAATAAACTAGGGACACGTTTTATAAAATATGGAGACAGTGAAGGCACCTCCTTTGGCCTCAGGGTACTCGCTGCTCTCCCTTCCCCTGCTCACCGCCCTCCCGCATCCTGGCTGTCATCCTTCCTGACCCCCGAGCTTGTCCCCACCCAGGCCTTCATCCTGGGCTTTCTCAGCCTGCAGTGCCCTGCCCCCCGTCTTCACAGGACCCGCTCCTCCTGTCATTCAGGTCTCCGTTCAGACATCACCTTCTCAGGGACTTTCCTTCTCCTGGACCATCAGCCTGGTGCACCCCGACCACCATCTGCCGGGCGCCTGTAGTGTGTGTGCTTCAGGGTTCTGTGTGCCTGCAGTTGTCCATCCTTGATGTTTATCCAATGGTCGGCTAGAGCGTCAGCTCTGCGGTCCTTGAGCAGGGACCACGTCTGTCTAGTCCACTGTTGTCTGGCACATAGTGTGTGCTCATGAAAGTTTGTTGACTGAATCAGTGAAGTAAGTATCCATTCCTGGGTTAAACCAAGGATGAGACTAGGTTGTTACCCCACAAGAATGTTTGTTGGGTTGACTGGTCGGTGGTTTTTGTTTTGTGGGTAGCTTCAGGGAAATGAGAGGTGTTTCAATGAAAAGGTTCTTGTCTTTATTGTTGTTAGTTGCCAGAGAGTTGATTGTGACTCATGGCGACCCCATGTGTGCAGAGTAGAACTGCTCCATAGGGTGTTTAAGGCGGTGACCTTTCAGAGGCGGATCGCCAGGCCTGTCTCCCAAAGTGCCTCTGGGTGGGTTCAAACCACCAACCTTCCAGTTAGTAGTCCAGTACTTAACTGTTTGTACCACCAGGGACTCCATCTTTACCACTGGGCACGTGAAAAATGACATGAGGGAAGAATGAGAACCAGTCCAGCATCCTGGCTCTGCGTCTGGAAATCATGATCGTTCACCCTTTTTTTTGATCTTCTGTTTTGCACAGAGCACTGATCTGGGTGCTCCCAGGGTCAGGGGGTGGGGGGCGAGGAGGGGTGAGGTTATATAAGAAATGGTACTTGCTCTCCGAGAGACTGCAGCGTGGCCGGGTAAGTAAGAAAATGTCAGCATCAGAATGCAAGGCCAGGTGTCATGAAGAACAGTCAGGATTTTACGTGGGGAGAGTCACAGGTACTTGGGAGCGTAGGGAAGGCTTAAAGACTCATGGTGCATGAGCTCCATTTTGAAGGATGGGTGGGGTTTTAACAGGCAGAGATGGTAGGGGCCAAGGAAAAGGAGGAGAGGCAAGGTGGCATGGGTGTTTGGGAGAGTTGGCTGGACAGGTTGACTATAGCTCAAGGGTGTTAGGGGGGCCTCGAGGCAGATGAGACGGAAAACATCCAGGGAGTTGGGAAGCATGGGTTCCTTCTAGGGGGTTACAGACCCCACACTTTGAATACCACTGGATTAGAGCAATGAGACTGTTTGTAGGGGGAGGTCAGTTGGGAATCAGCTGTAGTGGTCTGGACAAGAGGTATAATTCGGGTGTTAGCAGTGAAGAGAAGACAACAGAACAAAGCAAGAAATACTTTAGAAGTGGGGAGAACTTGGCATCGGATTGGCTGTGGCACCTGGGAGAAGGTAGAGTGTCTGTTGACGAAGGTTTTAAGTTTTGAGACACTTAAAAGTAAGGCTGGAGTTGCTATCTATATCAGTGCCTGAAGTGAATTTAAATGGGTCCAAAGCTTACTTTATTCTAACAGGTTAAGAAAGTACCGCAAAGTCTCTGACTTTTCACGGGTAACTCTGTCCTTACTCTTCCACCAAGATAACAGCGGTATTATCTGTTGTGCCTTCATTGTTTCTATGCCTTATTAATTCTCCCTGTGTAATCAGCCTTCATTCAGAGATTATCGCGTCACTTAGCAGAAAAGGCCTTCGTGGGACTCAGGGTTTTGTGCTTGAATCAACGTCTCTAGCATCTTAGAAGCTCACTTCAGAATCCGGGATGTTTTACATGTGCTTGGTGTAAGGGAAGTAGAGCTTGTACCTTAGAAGTTTAGGGAATGTATTTTTTGTCAAATGGAATACAATGAATTGGACTGATAATTTTTCAGTATATGTTTTTTTTTACCTTTGTCTCATTCAGGCTCTTTATCACATAGGTTATAGGCAAAATTTTTAAAGGTGATTAAAAAAAACAATGCAGTTGCCATCAAGTTGATTCCGATTCATGGCAACCCCACGTGTGTCTGAGGAGAACGGCACTCTTTAGGGTTTCCTGTGGCTGGTTTTGTGGAAGAAGATTACCAGGCTTTTCTTTCGAGTCACCTCTTGATCGGCTTGAACCTCCAACCTTTCAGTTAGCAGCCTAGCACTTTAGCTGTTTGTTCCATCCAGGGATTCCCAAAGGTGATTACCAGCATGATATTTATGAGTTCATGGATGGAAAGCCGCTTTGACAAGTTAAAATGCTATGAAGTAGTAATTCTGTGCCTCATACTTCTCTCAGAATGTGACTATTCCCGCTGGGCTCTAAGCAGAGCAGACACTTAACAGCACAGCCTCACAAAACTCCCTACAGACAGACAAATACTGACATTGTTGTTCTTGGATTAAAACTATCCTCTGGTATGGTAGGCAGTAGCTACACGTGACTATTTGTGTTCAAATTTAAATTAATTAAAATTTAAAAAAAAAATTGAAAATTCAGTTCCTGTTGCAGTAGCTACATTGTAAGTGCTCAGTAGCCAGAGGTGACTAATGGCCACCGTATTGGACAGCTCCGATATGGGACATTGCCCTCACTGCAGAAAGCCCTGTTAGGTGGTGCTGATCTTCACGACGGCGTGGCAGAAGCTGATCATTGTCCGTGTGTATCTGAGGTGTGAATATTCCTAGGCTTTGCCGTCAGCCATCTGCTTCCCCCTCCCGGCCCTCGCACCCTGTTGTATTCTGGATGCACCATGGCGGAGAGGTTCTGAGCACGGGAGTCAAACAGTTCTGTGCCCACACCCTAGCTGTGCCGTTATCGGCTAAACGACTCTGGCAAGTTATTTCATTTTTCTAAGCCTCGGTTTTCTCCTCTAAAAATGAGGATAACAAGCCCTGTTCTGTGAAGTTATTGTGAGGCTTAAAGGAGAGACTGCATCTGAACTCCAGAGCGTGACATGTAACACATCCTCAAAACCCAGAAAACTCACTGCCGTCGAGTCGATTCTGACTTATAGCGACCCTATAGGACAGAGTAGAACTGCCCCACAGGGTTTCCAAGGAGCAGCTGATGGATTCAAACTGCCAACCTTTTGGTGAGCAGCCGAGCTCTTAACCACTGCGCCACTAGGGCTCCGGAAAACTATGTATCTCCAGGTCTTCCTTCTTAGCCTGTCTTAGTCTGGAAGCTCTGCTGAAGCCTGTTCAGCATCGTAGCAACACACAAGCCTCCACTGACAGACGGGTGGGGGCTGTGCATGAGGTGCTTTGGCCAGGAATTGAACCTGGATCTCTGGCATGGAAGTCGAGAATTCTACCACTGAACCACGCCCCCAGTACCCTCAAAAAACCAAACGCATTGCTGTGGAGTCGATTCCGACTCCAGCGACCCTAGAGGACAGGGTAGAGCCACCCCGTAGGGTTTCCAAGGAGCAGTGGTGGATTCGAACTGCCGACCTTTTGGTGAGCTCTTAACCACTGCGCCCCCAGGGCTCCTCTATACAGTCGCAGTAACTGTTTATTTAGTTGTTATAGTCAGCATGATTATTCTTTCTCTGTGTAGACTAGCACCACCTCACAGGGCTTTCTGCAGTGAGGGCAATGTCCCATAGCGGAGCTGTCCAATACGGTGGCCATTAGTCACCTCTGGCTACTGAGTGCTTACAGTGTAGCTACTGCAACAGGAACTGAATTTTCAATTTTTAAAAAAAAATTTTAATTAATTTAAATTTGAATGCAGAGAACCACGTGTGGCTAGTGGCTGCCATACTGAAGAGGGAGAGTGTAAGGGTGCTGAGGAGTGTGTCCTCCAGCTGCCCACACTGTGTGCATCGTGAAATGTCAGCACACACAGGGCAGGCAGACGGCACAAATGACTGTGAACCAGCTTTTCATGATGAAAAACTCTTGTTTGACAATCTGGAATGTACACATTCACTTTGATGAACATTCATCCCTGACCCTATGTGGAGAATTTGTAATCTGTGGTTTGGTAAGGGTCCCCGTGACAGGCCCCTTCAATGATCTGGAAGAGTTGCTGTCCTCGAGGTTCCTGTAATCAAGTGGAGGGAGGGAGACAGTAAAGCAAAGACGAGTGTGCAGTGTGAGAAACGCCGTGAGCAGACGGTGGGTGAGTGATGGGAGACGCACAGAGCACACGTCTGTCCAGAGGAGGAAGGCTTAGTCCACTCGGCTATGGGGCAGGAAAGTCAGGCAGAGGGACGTGATAGCTGAGACGGGACCTGAAGGTCAGGGTGACTTTTCACGGGGCGGGAAGGGCGGGCGGGAGCAGATGGAGACCGGGAGGCAGTGTATGTTAGGAAGGAGGAAGGCCTTGAGCTCAGTTGGTCTGAGACCTTGACCCTGGGAGGAGGGTGCGGAGGGGAAGAGAGAGTCACGTGAAGAACGGTTTGGATGCCAGTCCCAGGTATTGACTTAGTTGAGCAGGCATTGGGGGCCAGGAAGGTTGTCAGCGTTCTGCTGGGTTTCCCCAGAGCTTTAAAGGGAAGAACGCGTTCCTCTGGTGAGGGGGGAGGATGGGACAAATGGTAAACGGCTGTGTTTGATCTTACAAAGTAACTGAATTTGTCAAACAGCATTTCTTCAGCAGAGAACAGAGGTAAGTAGACAGGACACACCACAGGTGTGCGGCTGTGTACAGGCACACACGCTGGCTCACACACGCTGGCTGCTGCTTGTCGTTCATGTAGGGCCGTGCTTGCATTTCTCTGTGGCTGAGACATACCCCACGGAGGCCCCAGACCCAGATTGGGGTGGTTGGGTTGAGCACAGTAGCAACGGGGGGAGCCTTTGGGCTTTTTCGTTTTTAAAAGTAGGGAGCGGAGGTTTAATGGAACACTTTTTGGTCTTCACTTATCCTTACTTTATTCTGTTACCACATGTCTTTCACTAGCTTTTCAAAATTAGGATTGGATTATCACTACTCCTGAATACCTACATGCGTATACAGCGCGGTGATTAAGAGCTCGGCTGCTAACCAAAAGGTCGGCAGTTTGAATCCACCAGCCGCTCCTTGGAAACCCTGTGGGGCAGTTCTGCTCTGTCCTGGAGGGTCACTGTGAGTTGCAATCAACCCGACAGCGACAGGTTTGGGTTTTTTGTGTGCTCCTTTTTGTTATTCCACAGCTTAAAGTGCTGAGCTTGTTTCCTATTCTGGACGTGTGTCACTTTGGTGAAGGGTCACACGGGAAATGGCAGATTAATCCGTTCCCGTGTGAACAGTCAGCAGCCTATAATTCCCTCAGCCTTCTGTCAGTTCTCGCCACCATCTGCACAGCTGTTACATTTCCACCTTATAGTTACACTTCCATTTTTCTGGTTTTAAGAAATGCCTGTTTTCCCATTTGAAGGAGTTGAGATGCGGTGTGTCTTGCGGCGGAGGTGTGCGTTTATTGCGGGCGTTTGAGATGGGGTGTGCCTTGCGGCGGAGGTGCGCGTTTATTGCGGGCGTTTGAGATGGGGTGTGCCTTGCGGCGGAGGTGCGCGTTTATTGCGGGCGTTTGAGATGGGGTGTGCCTTGCGGCGGAGGTGCGCGTTTATTGCGGGCGTTTGAGATGGGGTGTGTCTTGCGGTGGAGGTGTGCGTTTATTGCGGGAGTGTGTCATCCCTGAAAAGTTACTCAGTTGGAGGTAAATCTTTCGATATTTTGGAATCAAGACGAGGAGGTATTTTGGGTGTTTTCTGTGAAAGTATTAGCCCTGCCTCCCTCTGCCCCCAATGTCCAAGATAAGCCTAAGGGTGTCATCATCAGATCCCACTGTTCAGAGTCCCTCTGACGCTCTCTCTAGAGTGCAGAGGAAAATGGCGGACAGCTGTGTTCTCTGCGCTTAAACTGAAAAACGAAACCCGCTGCCGTGTGGTGAATTCCAACTCACAGCAACCCAGTAAGACAGGGTAGGATTGCCCCATAGGGTTTCCAAGGCTGTAATCTTGCTTGGTAAAGTAGAGGGTCAACGAAAAAGAGAAAGACCCTCAACGAGATGGATTGACACAGTGGCTGCAACAGTGGGCTCAAATATAGCAACGATAGTGAGGATGGCGCAGGACTGGGCAGTGTTTCATTCTGTTGTACATGGGGTTGGTATGAGTTGGAACTGACTTGACAGCATCTAACAACAATAGTGCTAATCTTCATGGAAGCAGACTGCCCATCTCTGTCACACAGCAGCTGGTGGGTTCTGATCACTAACCTTGTAGTTCGAAGCTGAGCACTTAACCAGCACGCCACCAGGTGTCCTTCCTCAGGGCTTACAGCCTGGGTATGTGGAAGCAACTGTTGGGAAGGCTGGAGACAGCTAGCCCGGTGTCAGGAAGCTCCCAGGCCCCACGCAGGCCCACCAAGGATGAAAGGGGCTCCATAATGACATCAATCCGGCTCTTAAGGAGCCCTGGTGGTGCAAATGGTTAAGTGCTCAGCTGTGAACCAAAACTCTTAACCACTGTGCAGTCAGGGCTCCAACCAGAAGGTAGGTGATTTGAACCTACCCAGCAGCTCCAAGGGAGAAAAGACCTGGGGGTCTGCTCCCGTAAAGATTACAGCCTAGGAAACCCTACGAGGCAGTTCTGCTGTGTCGCATAGACTCGCTGTGAGTCCCGTTCAACTCGACGGCACCCAACATCACAGCATCCGGCTCTCAGGATCCGGTTGCTCTGCTGTCTCTCTCCTGGATGTATTCCTCCAGACACCACCATCCGAGGCGGTGCTTTGCTGGTCAGTGTTTAACAGCCCCGATTCCCGTGGTGTAAAGATTCCCACTTGACATCCTGAAGGGGAGCTGGGAAGAAGTATTTGTCATCGGCTGTCTTGAGCCCACAGGGGATGGCATACCGTTGATCCCGAGGCCTGGAGTCCAGTAGAACACAGCTGGTCATGAGCTCTTTGAGCCATCACGACCCCCTCTCTGCCTCCTCCATGCCCATCAACCCCGTCAAGTAGCATCGGAATAGCCTTTGTATGGTCCTCACTCACTTTGCTGGTTTTGTCCGGGTGGACAGTCTGGTTTTGTCGGGGTGGACAGAGTCTGGTTTTGTAAGGGTGGACAGGAGTCTAGTTTTACAGGGGTGGACAGGAGTCTGGCATAGTCCCCTCCGAGTCCTGGCTTTTGAATGGATGATGGTCTGGAAACTTGTTTGGCCATAACCTGTTCGTTAAAAATACATGTATGCATGCAAGGCATTTTTAATAAAAGTGATTCTGAGAAGCAGGCCGAATAGGAAGAAGGTAAATGAGAAAAAAGCTGTTCCCTGGCCCTACAGAATTTAGGCAGTGATCCAAAATATACCTTGGAATATCCGAGTTATTGTGGAGACCTGTGTTACAAGAGTAAGAATGGACACCCAGTCCTTTAGTCCTGAGGGAGTAAAGGAGTGATGAAGGATACCAGGCTCATCATGAGCGTCTTCTGAGGAGGGAGCTTTGAAGGTTTGCAAGCAAAACAGCAAATGCCCAAGTCCTCTTGGCCTGAGCTGCTTTCTTTTCCTGCAGGACTTGGCCCTGGAAGAGGCTGTTCTGGAGGAGCTGACTCAGAAGGTGGCTCAGGAACACAAAGCCCACAGGTAAGCGAGCGGCCGGCAGAGGGCAAGGGCTGCCTGGCTCTGCAGAGACCCCTGTCTGCGGGGCAGCCGGAACCGGCCTCCTACCCCAGCCCCTGCCCAGCTCAGCAGAGGGCCCCTGTCTGTGGGACAGCGGGCACTGACCTCCTACCCCAGCCCCTGCCCAGCTCAGCAGAGGGCCCCTACCCCACCCCCTGCCCAGCTCAGTAGAGGGCCCCTGTCTGTGGGACAGCGGGAACCGGCCTCCCTACCCCAGCCCCTGCCCAGCTCAGCAGAGGGCCCCTGTCTGTGGGACAGCGGGCACTGACCTCCTACGCCAGCCCCTGCCCAGCTCAGCAGAGTTCTGTTTCTTCCAGCGTGAGATGAAGCTCTGTACTTCTGAGAGGCGCATGTGGCTTTGAGACTGTGCTCTCCTCCCTACTTCCCTTTCTTTACCACTCTTCTTCCTTCTCTCTCCCTTCCTTCCTTCCTCCCTCTCTCCCTCCCTCCCCTGCTTCTTCCCTCTCTCCGCCTTCACCCTCACCTCCCCACTCCCCTTTCCTCCCTTCCCTCCCTGCTTCCTGCCTCCCTCCCTCCTCCTTTCTTCCTCTCTCCCCTGCTGTCTAACTTTCTTTTCCCTTTTTTCTCTAACACCAGAACCCGCACAAATGTGGAGTTGTTGGCCAGGAGAATTCCTCTCTGGTTTTTCTAAAACTCTGTTGCCAAGCCTGGGAAGCCTAGGACTGCCCCTGCTAGGAGTGAGACCTGAAGAGCTACTTTGATGGGAAGGGGAAGGCCAGAGCCACCTTCCCGGGGTGCCTCTGGGAGGGAGATGGGCCAGGAAAAGGAGGAAACAGCCTGAGGAAGCACAGCGAGCCTGAGGCCAGGGCTCCGTGGACCAGTGCAGAGCAAACCCCCTTCTGCTGGCTGTGGGACCCGGCAGTTCCGGGCTCCCTTTTCTTGGCCACTTGGCTCTCAAGATCAAACTTTTCCCCTTTTTTTTTTTTGTTGTTGTTTGTTTTAATAGTGGCGATTTCACCCAGCTGAGAGAAAAGTAACTTTCCTGGTTAAAGCAGGCAGCATTATTCATGGAATAATTATGTATCATTTATAGGGCTGTGACTCTTATGTAAATATTGTCACCTCCCTCTTGTTATTCCGTGTTGAGTCAGTGGCTCCTGGGGACTGTGGTAATGAATTAGTAACTCACCAAATGCTCCAGGTTGGGTGATGATTGCTCTTCCCAGAAACGGGGCTGTCGGGAGGGGGTCTCCCGCGGATGTGGTGGCCCTTCACCATTCCCTCCTTTCATGCTATTTTGATTTTAGTGGAATCCTGCCAGCGGAAGCAGAACTCATGTACATCAATGAAGTGGAACGTTTGGATGGGTTTGGACAGGAAAGCTTCCCTGTGAAGGTAACCCACCCTGGCTTGTCTTTGCTTTAGCCCTCTCAGAAGGCCCCAAATAGAACAAAACCAGTTGCAGTCAAGTTGATTCCAACTCATGCTGGAATGTGTCATGTGTCAGAGTACAACTCTGCTCCATAGGATTTTCAAGGGCTGTGATCTTTCAGAAGCAGATTGCCAGGCCTTTCTTCTGAGGTACCTCTAGGTCGGTTCAAACCCTCCAACCTTTGGTTACTAGCCAAGCATTTGACCACTTGTGCCACCCGTGGGCTCCCCCAAGGGCCCAACCGTTTAAAGGAAAAAACAAACAACCAAAAAACAAGACAGCATGGTTAGCGGGGGGGCCAGCACGGCTCGACTCGCTCCTGATTGCTGCATGGCGTTTAGTTGGTGAGTCTGATTCACTTTGGGTAAAGCAAACACGTTTTCTTAAATAAGCGATTCTAAAGTTTCCCATGTCATTTCGAAGACAACGTTCTAAGCGAGTTCCCAACACCAGCCCATCTTGTGCCTTGAAGATACCAAGGCACACACCCAGCCTTTCAAAGGGACAAGTAGCTAATGTCACATGGGCATTAATAACTCCTGGGCCCCAGCAGTTTCTTCCTCATCCGCATTCTCTCTTCTTCCTTGAGCACATAGAGGGAGAATTTGCTTGTGCAGTGGAATGAAGCGTTCCCTGTATCCAGCCATACTTTATCTCCAGCTCTGTGGAGCCCTCCTTGTGGGTCCCCAGCCCTGCTGGTGTGCTCTGGAAACTGTTACAGCTCATAATGTCCTGCGCAGCCAGCGTGCCTCCTGAAGTGGGTGTGGTCAGGGGTCATGGCCCAGGGTCATTTATAGGGCTGAGCCCACGTCCAAGCTCATTTTCCTCTCTGCGCTGACCAACTTTACGGAAAATGGAGTTTTATCAGAATCCTAAAGCGACGAGCACATTTCAGCAGTTTGGGAGAAGCCTGCAGTTTTAGCACAAACAACTCACTGCAGACTAGCTCCGCTGGCTGCTTTCCAGGTGCTCTGTCCCCCTCGGTTGCTCGTTTGCCGTCATGAGAACTGTCCGTGTGCATCAAGCAGGATGGGGCAGGGCCACAGCTTGCAGAAGGGCCAAATGGCTCTTTTTTAGATTTGTTTAATTTTCTTTTGTTTCTCTAGTGGCTGCCCTTGGTAGGGTTGGAATCTGTTTTCCCTGCAGTGATGCCTTCCGAAGCCATCTGCATCCCACGCACATTTCAGCAGCCCATATATCTCGTGATATTTTGGGTCATTGAAAAATCAGAGTAAACGTTTCTCCAGTTCTAGAAAACTGACTTTCCAATCCCTGAAAGTTGCGAGTTTGGTGGTCGTGGTCATACGCTTGTTTTGTTTTCAGTAATCCTGAGCCGTGGGAAACGGGCATGGAGATGGGTTGAACCCCACTGTGCCTGGTGCTGATGCTTTTCTCGTTTGCTCCTTGGCGGGGTGGGTTCCCAGGCGGATCCTGTAGCCTGTGTTGAGTGGGCAGACCCGCACTGCTGACTCACTCCCTGCAGGCTGGTAACACTTGGCCGCACTTCTCCTTTTTCCCCATATCTGTTCATGACCACGGGGACCACCTCCAGGCCACACAATGCCTGGAAGCCCATTGTGAGGGGTGGGGGCAGCAGTGGGGGCGGGGGCGGAGATGTGGGCAGCTGTGAAGTGAGGGAAGGAGCCGGCAGGAAAGACAGTGCTGCTGCTGTTTCTCGGGGTGAGTGCAGGCCCTTAGACCAGAAAAAGTGACAGGCACGATAGGGACACATGATAGGGAAGAACGTTTTTACTTCACGTGGGCTTCCCCATGAATACAGCCAAACCCGTTGCCGTCGAGTCGATTCCGACTCACAGCAACCCTATAGGACAGAGTAGAACCACCCCATAGGGTTTCCAGGAAGCGGCTGGTGAATTCGAACTGCCAACCTTTTGGTTTTAGCAGCCATAGCTCTTAACCACTCTGCCGCTCTCAAAACTTTCTAAGGCTGGGAGAGAACCTTTCAGACAGATCCGCCTCGCTTCGTCCCCCCAAAGAGGTGAGGCTGCTGCCCACACTGCTCCCGTAATGCTGGAGCACGTGGACCAGGGATGGTGCTTCCGGGATGGGTAGGTCAGAGTCCGGAGGCTCGATCCTTTGCTAAGTTGAACTTAACGAGGAACAAGTTATCAGTTGTCACTGAGTCGCTTCCAACTCACGGCCACCCCATGTGTGTCAGAGTAGAGCTCTGCTCTAGAGGGTTTTCAACAGCTGATTTTTTGGAAGTGGATCACCAGGCTTCTCTTTGAAGGCACCTCTCGGCGGACTTGAATCACCAGCCTTTCAGTTGGCAGCCGAGAGCATTAACTGTTTGCAGGACCCAGGAACTCCAAGTTGAACTTAAACCAAAAGCACCAAATGCGTTGCTGTTGAGTCAGTTCCAACTCCTAGCAACCCTGTAGGACAGAGTAGACGGCCCCCTAGGATTTCCAGGGAGCAGCTGGTAGATTCAAACTGCTGACCTTTTGGTTAGCAGCTGAGCTGTAAACGTTGGCCATTGCCTTGACCCCAGCATCCTGGTCAGAGACATTGTGTGTTTTTCCCATTGCCCCACCCTGGTGAACTGGGCTTCCATATTTCCCTCACCACCCGACACCTGTGGAAGTCCTACGCAGGGCACATAACCTGTGGAAGTTCTTTCTGTGAAGTTTCCTCTCTTTCAGTCCTGCGTCTCCCATCTCCTTCGCACATTTCTCCAAAGTAAAACTTACCTTTTTAGCTTCCCACAATCACCAAGGCAGTTTTCTTCCTCCTTCATAGTCCTTCCTCCCTCACCTCTCTCTCTGCTTTAGCCACAGGCAGTTGCCTTGCCCTTTCTCTGTTCCTGTTAAAAGGATTCCTTGTTCTAACATAAGCTTTGGTGGGTGGGGTCAGAAGAGGTCAGTGAGAAGGGAACCTGTCTGCTTTGTGTCTTAAATGGGATCAAGTATTCAGGATGGATATACACATTTGAGGAAGTAAAGAGCCTGGTTGCACAATGGTTAAGTGCTTGGCTGCTAACCGAAGGGTCAGCTGTTCGAACCCACCCAGCTGCTCTGTGAGAGAAAGAACTGGTGGTTTGCTCCCCTGAAGATTACAGCCTAGAAAACCCTATGAGGCGGATCTGCTCTGTCCTGTAGGGTCGCTATGAGTCAGAATTGGCTCAGTGGAACACAGCAAAAACAACAGTTTGGGGAAATGTGAGGTCCTTCTTTTCCATCTTAGGCTTAGTACGTGGCCTCTGTTCCCTTCTCATTCCATAAGGAGGACCCTCCCCACCAGTGAAAGCAAGGGGTCAGAGTGAAAGTGTACCTACAGGAGCCTGGTTCCCATTCGTGCTGTCAGAACACTGGTGACCAGGGTATGCCCTCCTGTGCAGGAGACTCGAGGTACCTGACCAGACCAAGAGACCAGACCGAAGCTGAGACCTCTGGGGTCTCCAGCCAAAGCCCAGACAGAGCACTGGCAGTTCACAAGGCTCACCTGTGCCCCTAAAGCTCCCACCATCATTTAGCACCTACTCGTAAATGTGGGCAGACAGCCAGGTGTCATCCTATGTGAGACTCTGAACCAGAAAGATGGAGACAGCCAGGAGAACACAGAGACCCAGCAAGAGAGGAAACGCTCCCCACCCGCAACACTGTCCTCTTGAGTCTCAGAGATAGAAAAGAACATCGTATCCTTGACGGAATAGAGCGCTAGATAAAGGAACTCTCAGGAATTAAAAATATGGTATCAGAAATGAAAACCTAGGGTAGAAGATAAAACTGAGAAAATCTCACCAAAAAAGAAAGAAACGGAAACTGAGGGGCAGGAGATAAGAAAACAAGAGGTCGGGTCCAGAACGTTCGTCATCCGAATGATGAAAGTTCTTAACAGTGCGAGCAGAGGTAGTAATTGGAGAATATTTCCTGGAACCAAGGAGTATGAGGTTCTAAACGGAAAGGACTAGACACACATCACAGCTCTAAGAGGTGCACGTCGCTGACTCTGGCGAGAGAAGGCAGAGGGCCAGGGTCTGCTGTTTGCCTCTTTTATGTAAGCACTGGAGAATAGTTAACTCTTCAAATTGTTAAAAAAAATAAAAATTAAAAAAAAAACAGAGTTAAAAATGGTATTAATAGATAGTTTGTGAAAGAGAAAATCCAGACAGACATCAAATACAAGAAAATCCTAATGTTCTCCCTTAAACAGGAAATGTGACAAGTTGAGAAAAAAGAACATAAAAATATATGGTCCCCTAGGATGTGCAGAGGAGTCCTCGGTGGTGCAAATGGTTAAGTGCTCGGTTACTAACTGAAAAGTTGGCGATTTGAATCCATCCAGAGGTGCCTTAGAAGAAAGGCCTGGTGATCTCCTTCCAAAAGATCACAACCATTGAAAATCCTATGGGGCACAGTTCTACTCTGACACAAGTCGCCACAAGTTAGAATCGACTCAACAGCAGCTGGTTTGGTTAGGACGTGTTGTGGGGTGAGGTTCCCCCCCCCACCACCGCAAACAGATGGTCACCTTGTACCACGATGGTGATGCTGTTTATGATTCATGCAAGTTGTGGGCGAGAAATGGGGTGTGGGTGCGGTAGGCTGTGGCCCAAGTGTTTGGTTCTGGAAGACCGCTGGGCATCTGTTTCATCACAAGCGTCTGTCGATCTTATGCAGGACAATCATGGAAACGGTGTGCACCTCGGTATTTTCTTTATGGGGATTTTCGTGAGAAACAGAATTGGAAGACAAGCAGTCATATACAGGTAAGTCTTATGTGTCTTTTTCCTTTTTCTCCTTCTTTTTTCCCAAGGGACTCTAGAAAACACATTGACACTATCTGGATGAGTGAAGGGCTAAACTGAATCAGGGGAGAACATTGCTTCAGTCGGATAAGGTCAGCCCTCTGTGGGGTCTGAGCAGCGCTGGAGAAATTCATCTCTCTTTTCTTGGAGGCTTGTTTGGGGAAGAGGGGGAGGCTCGCGTCCTACCTGACCCAGGAAACACTGTCAGACCCCTCCGAGGCTGGGAGTAGACCTGGACTTGAGGAGCCTGCTGGTTGCCTTTGTGGGATCGTCCGTGACTGGTTGTTAAATCCAGTCTGGCTTCTCCCCATTGTCCTGCACTGCCTGCCTGTCCCCGCGTGCTAGAAGGGTGAACCCACGTTTTGTTAGTAACCACAGAAGATTATTGCTGAACGTTTGTTTTGAGGGAGCAACCACGTTATTATCATGATAATAACTTAAAGGACCTTGGTGCTATTTGTTGTTTTGACACTTGACCCTGTTCTCCAGTTAACGGAGTAGAACAACAGTGTTGGGATGTGACAACCCTGTCACACGTCCATGAGCGTGCTTCATGTTGGTGCCCGTAAATTTCTAAGAACCCACATGCTCACTGACCGGGGCAGTGTGGCCCATCATGTGCCGGGAGAACAGTGCATCTGATGGGCAGACGACCAGAGATGGTTCTCAGGCCAAGCAGAGCCCAGCTTTTGGAAGTAAATCCTGGCCAGCCATGTACTCTGTGGGTCGGCAGCTACCGCAGGTCCTTTTGAGACCGTTTTCTGAACAAAAGCTTTCTGACTGGCTTCAGTTTCCCTAGGTCCCCACCTGCTGTTATTTTAGGATCGTCTCACCCGTCTTTGATAGAGGCACGGTTGAAGTGTGAGTGGGCAGGAGCTCCTTGGGGCTACACAGTAAACTTTGTTACTGATTCAGAATCAGCTCTGTGTACCTACAGCAAATTATGAGTCAACTGGGTAAAGTATATAACTATGTAGAGAGTGATAACTATACATTTTTATTCCCAGTCGAAGCTATCCAGGAATTCTTACCCCACACGGTTCTCTCTATCTAAACTGATACTCTGGTTTCTCCTTGAGCCTGGAGAGGAGAAGTGGACCAGTCTTGCCTTCCAGCCTTTGAGGTGGGATAGAAGAAGAGAGAGATTTTAAATCGGGTGACCATGAGACCCTCACAGCTCGTGCACGTTCATGAGGAACTGCTTCTAGACTTCTCTCTCTGGCACATGATGGAAAACCCCTACAAGATGGGAATTCACTTCCACTACAGTATCATGGAAGGAGCCCTGGTGGTGCAGTGGTTAAAGCGCTCAGCTTCTAACCGAAAGATGTGGCAGTCTGCTTCCGTAAAGATCACAGCCTTGGAAACCCTATGGGGAAGCTCCACTCTGTTTTGTAGGGTCAGTGTGAGTCGGAATCAACTTGACGGCAGTAGGTTTAGTTTTTTTGGTTTATAGGATCATGTAGGAAACCCTGGTGGCGTAGTGGTTAAGAGCCATGGCTGCTAACCAAACGGTCTGCAGTTGGAATCCACCAGGTGCTCCTTTGAAACCGTAGGGGCAGTTCTACTCTGTCCTGTACGGTCGCTATGAGTTGGAATCCACTCGATGGCAACGGGGTTTTGGTTTTTGGAGTATCATGTAAGGAGCCCTGGTGGCACAATGGTTAAGCACTTGGCTGTTAACCGAAAGGTTGGCAGGTTGAACCCACCCAGTGGCCCTGCAGGAGAAAGACTGCAGCCTAGAGAACCCCATGGAGCAGTTCTGCTCTGTCACATGGGGTCACTGAGTCAGAATTGACGCAGTGGCAATAACAACCACACCAGTGTGGTATCATGTTAATTATGCCGCTAGGTGATGTCGTGTGATGGGACAAGGCAGTATCCAGAGGTCTGGCAGTCGATTTCAAGGAACGGAGCTGGGGAAACCAAATACCTCTCATCCCTAGAGGCCTTCCTGAGGAGCATGTCCATGTTGAGCTCATGTTGCTATGATCTGATAGGATCACAGACCGGGCAGCAAGCTGTGCTGAGCACCTGTAGGCAGTACTGCCAGCAGGTGGACTGAAACACAGTGGTGCTGGTGTCGTGGCAAGGTGATGGCGAAAGTCGGGAAACCACAGGTCTAGAACTCATGCTGCACTGATGGGCAGAAAGAACACGTGCAGCTTAGTCATGGACTCACTTGTGCCTGAACTGCCCCCTTTCTAAAGGAGGAGCACGAAGAGCTGCCTTGTCTACCTGGAGAGTTGATAAAAGAGTCCTACTTCACACAGCCGAGAGGCAACATTGTTACTTTTAATTCTTTCAGCAAACCTTTCTTGAGTGTCTGCTAGGTAACAGGCATTTGACTCAGTCTCGGAGTACAGAGATGAGGAAGGCAGAGTCCTTACTCAGGGCACGGGGGCCTGAGGACTGGCATGGTCTAGCTGGGGATCCAGTTACAGAAATAAAGAACTAGTGCAGTGTGGTGAGCAGCAGAAGGCTACGCCGTGTATTATGGAGAGAGGGGTGCTGGGGATGAGGGATGGCTTTCTAGAGAGGGTGCTCCTGAGAATTAGCTAGGCAGAGGATGGTGGGAGTGGGATGAGCAGCAGCACAGTGGAGTAAAACAGCTGTGGGGAGGGAATTCTACATCAGGGCACAGGGTGAAGGGTAAACCCATAAACCAAACTCAGTGCTGTCAAGTCGATTCCGACTCCTGGTGACCCTAATGGGCAGAGTAGAACTGCCCCCTAGGGTTTTCTAGGCTGTAATCTTTGTGGAAGCAGATTGCCAGGTCTTTCTCCCACAGAGCAGCTGGTGGGTTCAAACTGCCCACCCTTGGGTTAGCAGCCAAGCGCTTAACCACTGCACCACCAGGACTCCTCCAGAGTGAAGGGTAGGTAGTAGTAAACCCAAAACCAGGTGTTGTCAAGTTGATTCTGATTCATGGCGACCCGGTGTGTGTCAGAGTAGAACTGCTCTCCATAACGTTTCAGTGGCTGATTTTTCGGAAGTAGATTGGCAGGCCTTTCTTCCAAGGCACCTCTGGGTAGACTAAAACAGCCAACCATTTGGTTATCAGCTGAGCGTGTTAACCGTTTGTACACGCAGGGACTGCAGGTAGTAGAAGGTGCTTAGAAACTGGCTCCAAGTAGAATGAGAAGCAGCAGCTTATCTTCACTTTTCTGGAGGTTATTCCTGTGGATCTCATTTTAGGTAAGGTTTCCACGAGGAAAACAAAGGCAGTGGTTTGATTTTTTGTGGTTTGTTTCGATCACAACAGTGTAAACACCTTAAATGCTCTCTAGGTGTTTTCTCTGAGTGGCAGAAGTAACCTGTACCGCACATAGCAGCACAGAATATGTGTGGATTGTTCAGCCTCCGTGCCTGTGTAAGCAGGACCTTTTAATACTGTGCCCCCCAGTGTTAAAAAGCCTTGTCAGTTTGGAAATATGGAAAACATGGCAGCAAAATGCCCTTGCGCACTTTCCTTGTAAACTTAGAAAACCCATTACCATGGAGTCGATTCTAACTCATAGCGACCATGTAGGACAGAGTAGAACTGCCCCATAGGGTTTCGAAGGAGCAGCTGGTGGATTCGAACTGCTGACTCTTTGATTAGGAGCCGAGCTCTTAATCACTACACCACCAAACTATACTTTATGAAGAGTGACGTCTGGATATATTTTACAAAGGCTGTTCAGCTGTTTAAGTAGATACATGTTTCATTTTCTATTCTGTTTTGAGAGAAGGAACACTTAGCTTTAAAAAATATCGTTACATCATAATTTGTAAAACGAGACTTGACGTTCGCAGATGGCCTCTTGCGCTGAGTCGTAAATGCTGCTGGGTAAACGCATTCCATTTCTTTCGGCCAGGTGGCATGACGTCGGGAATATTACTCACAACAAGTCCACCATTCTAGTGGAGTTCATCAGCAAAGAAGAGACCGCCCTCTTTCACACGGTGAGCACCACGACAGATGCCGGCTCCAGCAGGCGGCGTGCTGTTTGACTTCTCAGCTCACCGTCTTCCCTTGATCTCCGTTTCTTGAGAGGCTAAATATTCTGTTGAAAACATACCTTCCAGTACTTGTCCAAACTATTATTGACCCTTTCAGGATCCACCCACTGCTACTGAGTCAATTCTGACTCATAGCAACCCCATAGGACAGAGTAGAACGGCTCCATAGGGTTTCCAAGGCTATAAATCTTTATGGTAGCAGACTGCCACATCTTTCTCCCTCAGAGTGATTGGTGGGTTCGAACCACTGACCTTTAGGTTAGCAGCTGAGTGCTTTAACCACTGTGCCACCAGGGCTCCTTCATTTCAGGCTAGCCACTAACTAAAAAATAACTCATTGCCGTTGAGTCGATACCAACTCATAGTGACCCTGTAGGACAGAGTGGAACTGCCCCATAGGGTTTCCAAGGAGTG